TTCTGTCTTTGATTGAGATGAAGTTGGGGAGTACTGATGGTGATGTAAAAAAAAAGAAAAAAAAGAAAAAGAAAGAAAAGAAAAAAAGGGAGGAGCCATTGAAATACTTTTAAAAGTTCAGAGTAATACAGAAAGAAGTTCAGAAGGAAACACAAGCAGGAGAGTTTTGAAAGTAATGGGTTGAATTTATTATATACTAAAAAAATCAAGCAACATGGAATAGAAATTCAGTTTCACATACAATTCTCTTTTTGTGTTCTAATAAAATATCTCACAAAGTTCATAAGACTGTAGTGTTTAGAACTAGAATGGACCTAAGAAGCCATCTAATCTAATCCCCTCATTTTACAGATGAAGAAACTGAAGCCCAGAGAGAGATTAAATGACCTGCTCAAGGTCAAACACAGAGTAAACGGTAGAACTGGAATTCAAACCCAGGTCATCTAACTGCAAATCCAGCAGTCTTTCCACTGTAGCACACCACTCTTCAAGGAGGATGATTACTAACGTTGGCTGGGAACAGAAGCCAGGTAACAAACAGTTGAGCAGTGAATATAAAATACTCTTGTGCAGTTGACCCTTGAAGCAGTGAGAGCAGCTCTGCCTTCTCAAGGACTGCCCTTCTCCATTAAAGCCATAAAAGAGGGGCAGGAGTCTTAAGAATTAGAGCTGCCCAAAAGTAGAGTGGGCTGTCTTCGAAGGTGGTGAGTTTCCCCTTATTGAAGGTCTTCAAGTAGAAGAGCAGTTCCCAATCTGGGGCGTGTGTACCACTTTGGATACAAACAGCTTGTCAAGGGCATACATACAGCACATATTTAGTAAACAACGCTATTATCCTAATTAAATTAAGTAGTCTTTTTCTTCTTATGTGAATATGCATGATAAACAATAGATTTCTTTTTCCACCACTACTGTCTGCTGCCCTTCTACACAGTCTGCCTGGTCCCTTTGGGACAACTCCATCCTGAGGCTGACTCAAGGTTGGTGAGATCTTGCCTGGAACCATCCTAGGATAGGGCCAAACCACGCTAATCTCTCTACTGAGTACTCACCCCTCCAGGCTATTCCCACCACACCAGCTGTCTGACCCTTGCCAATTCATCTTCCTTGGAATGGAAGTTCCTTGAAATGTAAGGACCCTGTCTTCTGTTGTTTTCTCTTTTGGGTACTCTTAGCACTCAGTGTAGCATCTGGCACAACGTAAGTGCTTACCACATGCTTGCTCTACTTATCTATTGATCTTTCATATTGAATAGGCGGGTAAAAGAAGGTTTCCTGAAAACTAAGGGATACAGGGACCAAGAAATGTTGGGAGCACCTGCAGAGGGTGGACAAACATTGTTAGAGATGCTGTAGAAGGAATTCTAGTTCAGGTATGGACTGAACTACATGGTTTCTGAGGTCCTTCCCAATGATCATGCAAGAACTTTCTGCTTGTTTTGTATGTACTCATATCTCTGCAACCCCAAAGCCTAGCATAGTATATGGCAGGTGCTTAATAAATGTTTGCTGACTGACTGAGAGTGAGAACAGAAGGGGTGGGTTTGGGAGCTTAAAGGGGAGGAGTTGTTTTGGAGAATCAGCTATTGAGGGTACAAAGTGGAGTAAAAGCTGGTCAGAAATGGCCTATTTCTTGATTTCCTTCGAAAGCCTGGAGACAGAGGGAGGAGGCAGAACCCCTTTCTTCCTAATTTCCTTAGTTCTGTTAAGGTACTGCCATCCTTTCTGAGACCCAGGTTTAAAACCTTATAGTCATCTGTGACTTGTCCTCCCTCTGCCCCTTCCTAATTGGCTGCTGGTCTTGCCGATGATCTCTCCAGAGCAGCCCTCCCACCGCTCCCCGTCTCTCTACTCTCACAGTCCTAGGTCACAAGTGGGATAGGCCTGGCCTATCCCACTGGCCTCCTAACTGGCCTCCCTGTTCAAGTCTTTCCCCTCTCCAATCCCATCCTCCATCCAGTTGCCACAGGGATGATTCTAAAGTGTAAGTGTGGCCATGTCACTGGCTTGAGGTCCTCTGGGATCAATGTTTGCTACACCAGGTCCATTGACTTTCTCAGCCTCACTATACATGGCTCCTCCTCCTGCATTCCTCAGTCTAGCCAACCCGCCTTCTTGCTGTTCTCATGCACCATATTCTATCTCCCCTCCTTGTGCCTTATTAGAGGCCGTGCCTTCATGCCTCAAGTGCCCTCCCCTGCAACCTCCACCCCTTAGAATCCCTAGTTTCCTTTGGAAATGTCTTTCCTCACCCTCCCCAGCAAAATCACTTTGTATTTACTTTGAATAGATTATACATCTCTTTTGATGTGTACATATGTGTCCTTTTATAGAATTTAAGCTCCCTGGGGACAGACTGTTTTGTCTTTGAATGTCCAGTGCCCAGCACTGTGTCAAGCACATAGTAAGCATGCAGAATTAATAGATTTCTGACCACTCTTTTCATCTGTAAAATGGTGGGATTGGTGTCAGAGGTTCCTTTCAGCTCTAACTCCATGTTCCTGTGATTGATTTAGTTAACATGTTTGTTGAATTCAACTGTCACCCTGCTAACTCTTTTATTCACTTTAGTGTTTCTTCTCCAGGTATACACTACCCACTGGCTGGCTACAGCCCCCAGATCACCCCCTTTAATATTTAGAAGGGTTAGAACCTGAGAGAGGTCATCTAGTCCAGTATCATTATACAAGTGAGGAAACACTGACAGTTTAAATGACTTACCCAAGGTCACACAGCTACTTAGAGGCAGAAATGGCATTTGAATTGAGGTCTCCTGGCTCCCCCACCCAGGCTTTTTGCTCCTACACCATACAGTGTCCCTAAACCACTTGTGGTGCCCTCTTAACTCAGTCTGGCTTTGTACACTGCAATTCTTAAAAAATTAGTGAGATTAAATTAAGCAAATAGAACTGTAGGGTTATAAGGATCAAACCTTCAAGTGCCACATAAATGAGAACTATTTATTATTAACTTTCTTCAGATTTAGATTTGCTAAACTGTTTTGTTTTTCGGTAACTGAGAAGCTTCAGACATATGGCATGACTGAATTCTAAGTTTCAAATGGAGATTTATACGAGTAGATTGATGGTTTTTAGCTGGAAGTTTCAGCTGGACACCTGTTAAGTAGTTTATGTGAAAGGCATAAAGAGAAGTCTTTGTTCATCAGTCAGCAGACAGGTGTCCCAGACACATAAGACAATGAAACCTGAGCACAGTGCAGCAGAAAAGGCCCTGGCTCTGGAATGAGAAGACTTGGGTTCAGATTCTGCCTCCAGTGATTGCTACCTGTGTGACCTTGGGCAAGTCTCTTTGCCTCCATGAATCTCAATTTCTTCATCTGTAAAATAACAAGAGGGGGGCCTCCTCACCATCTTCTGCCAAATGAGTTCCTAGATGGGTTCTGAAGTAGAGGTTTGGAAAAGTAAGGGGCAAACAATGTCGTTCCCCCACAACCCAAAGTGCTCAGGGTGGGCTTCTCCCCTTGTGTCCCATCTTTGCTCCCATCCTGCTGCAGTGGCTCAGGACCCACCCAGGCTGCCTGCCTCCTCACATGGCTTGGATGACATGGAAGTCACCATTCTTTCCTGTGAGAGATGAGGTCCACCAGGCCTTTCCCCCTCCCCCCCATGCTACTTCATCCTTGCCCTGCCAATCTGTCATCTGACCTAAAGATATAACCTTAGGGCCCATGGATCTTGCTGTCTGTCCCCCAGTCTGGACTTTCCAGTCCATTTAGGGCTTTGGTCTTTTCCATCTGCCCTACTGCTTAACTTTCTATATCATTTCTCCTAATTAGAGTAGGAGATCCCAGAGAGAAGAGACTGTCTAGCCTTTTCTATATGTCTCCCCAGGCCTTAGCACAGTGCATGGCTCACAGTTAACACAGTATTTTTTCAACCATCCATCCATGGCCCTCTAGATCCCTTCCATTTCTAGATCTATGATTCTATGTCCTTTTTGACCAAAAACAAACTCTTAGGCCCACAAGTGAAAGATCCAAGAAAACCATATATCATACCAATTAATTTAATGATTCCTTGTTCATTTTCCCACCAGCTTTTTAGATTGAGCTCTTGGCATCTTCCATAATAAAATATCCAACTTGCTTTTCTTTGCATTTATTTTACTAAATAAAACCCTACTATCAGTAAGCCTGCGTATAGTACATTAACTTACATAACTCTCATTACACAGCAGACTAGAGGCTTTCAATTACTAGGGCACTTCAAACCTCAAGTATGAAAGGGGTACAGACGAAACAGCCGATTTCAGCATATCAGAGAAGTACTGAAGTCAAATAAAATGGTAATTTGTACTCCCTAACATAAAATTAAGGTATTGCACCTAAATGTACAAGGATTATTTTTTTAAAAAGCCATCACATACTGCTTGTCAGTCAACAAGCATTTATTAAGTGCTTACCACATGCCAGGTACTTTGCAAAGCACAGGGTTTAAAAGAGGAATCCCAGCCTTTAAAGTACTCCTAATGGTAGGGCAATATATATATATATACACATACATATATTTATTAAGCACCGAGGACACAAAGAAAGGCAAAAGCAGCTCCTACCCTTAAGGAGCTCACAGTCTAACGGGGGTGGGGGGAGATTAACAACTATATATATACAAGACACATTCGGAGTAAATAAATGGGAAAGCGGGGTAATCTCGGAGGGAAGGTGCAAGCGGTAGGTGGGACGCAGGAAAGGCTTCTGGCCGAAGGCGAGCTTCGATCTGAGTCTTTTAGAAAGCCAGAAGACGAAGATAAGGAGAGAGAGCAGTTCAGGCATGGGGGGGGCACAGCCAGTACAAAAGCACGGAGTCGGGAGATGGCGGGTTGGGGCGCGGGTCAGCACGGCCATTAGTCCACCTTCCTCCTCCCACTGAGAAGCACTTCGTGGAGCGGAAGGAGGGCTGCAGGGTCCGGACAAAAGCCAGGGTCAGGGCCAGGGGTCTGTGCAGGGTCTCCGCCCCCCGCCCCTGCCGGAAGCCCCCTACCTCCTCCTCCTCAGTCGCCTCCTCCTCCGTGTTCTCGCCGACACCGTCCTGCTCGTAGAAGTCGAAGCGTGAAGACCTGGAGCGGGGATCCAGTGGGGCCTGGAAAGTGAGCGAGGCAAGCACTTCGGCCGCTCGCCGGGAAGCGTCCATGGCTCCGGAAGGCTGCTATTTGCCTGCCCAGGTTTGAGCTGCGTTAACTCTGGGCCAGCAGGGGGCGGCTTCCCGCAGGGGGCGTGGCCGTTACCGGGGCGCCGTAACCCGGGACGCCGCGCGCCGCGCTACAAAGACCTCGCCCCGAAGCCCAGGGCGGGGGCCCGGTGCTCACTGAGGACACCTGCGAGCTCACTGGGACCTGCCTCCTCCCCCCCCCCTTTTTTTTTTTTAACACTTGGCCCAAGGGGGTCCCCCTCCTTCCTTCTGGCCTGTTCGGGTTTCAGCGTAATTGTCGGGTGATTGATGATGACATCATGACACGTGCGAACAACCCATTAGAGGGAGGCACAGAGCATTCCTAGAACTGGTTTCCTTTAGAAGGGAAAGACAACGATGCGCGTTCTCGACTCGAGAGGCCGCGGGAGCAGATTGTGTCAGCTTCAACTAACATGGCTACCGGCAGGGCCGGGAAAGAAAAGGCGTTGCTCGTGAGGATTGGCCAGCGGGCGCGAAGGAAAGGACCAACCAGGGAGGAACAACTCTTTGTCCCACCTCTTTTCTTCTTGGCAAGGCCAATGGTAGCCCCGGGTTCTGCAGTGCTTTGTCTGCTCTTAGAATAAGGGACTGCGGAGTTTAGTTCCGGCGGCCCACTTTGTGGCGAGGCTTCTGTATAAATTTATCCCTTTGGGGGCAACCTAGGGGGTAGGGAGGACGCGGCCAAGGGGGTTGACCCCAACCTCTGTCCAAGTAGCCAAACCCAGAAAACCCCCTCGGCCTTTACTCCAGCCCTGGAATGCGCCCCCTTCTGGCCCAGCTCTGGACTTTCCCGGCAGGCAGAACCTAGGGCACGGGCAGTGCCCAAGGACCCGGATGTTGTGGGCAGCGTGGGTCCTGCAGAGCCCGGCCTTCCTGGGACCTCGCCTCCTACGGCCCGTACCCTTCGTCCTTTGTTCCATTTTCCCTCAAAGGCACTTTTTTTGGTCACCACCCGCCTCATCCCTTTGGTGCCCCACCCCCCAGGCAGTATGAAGGTTTACAGGATTTTCTCTAGGCTCAGAGGACCTTCTCATCCTCCCTGCGTCTAAATCATATTGGCTCTTCTGCTGTAGTGTATAGACCGCTAGACTTGCGGTCAGTTTAGACCTGTGTCCAAATGTGGCCTCAGATACTCATGAAGTGTGTGATCTTGAGATCAAGTCATTTAATCGCCTTTTGCCTCAGTTTCCTTATCTTTAAGTTAATTACATCTACACACCTAACAACTCTGAATATCAAATGAAAGGAATTAGCCCAGGGACTGGTACTTGGTAGGTGCAAGTGCTAAGTGCTTCTTGATCCTTAAAATGCTATTATTACTGTGCAACAGCAGGTTGAAGCTAGAAAAAGAACTTGCTGGTCAACCTTTCCTAAGACAGAGGTGCAATGGGACTCCAAGTAACAGCCTGGATGAGAATAGAGCCAGAGCAAGGTGGCTGCTGATCTGGAGCCTTTGGTCCCGCTTGAAGTCCAGGAGTGGGAGTCAACCTAATCAGTCAAGAAACATCTGTTGATACAAGTATCCCCAGCACTGATCTTCTAAATTATTTCCCAGGGTTTGGCTTTTCATTCAAAACAAGGCAATGGGCTGACAACCAGATAGCAATACATGGATGGGAAACCCTGGATCAAAACTTGTGGAAAGTGATTTTGAGGGCCAGGGTGCATTCTTATTGTATGAGATTGTGCAGGAGTAACTCAAGGGACAAGAGGCTGTTGTGTAAATATCTGAAAAAGGAACTACTTTGTAACTCTCACAAACTTTTTTTCTTAAGAAAAAAAAGTCTAACTAGTTAAACTTACTTTGTAACCATACTTAAATAATCTCAACACATAAAACTTAACATTTTAGTCTAATGTCCCCATTAGGATTCTTTGTCCATTCTCATTCTTTCTTCCTCATAGATGGTCAGTGTGTACTGATCCTCTGGTTCTTTTGTTGGGTTTCAAGATTAATACAAGTCTTTATTTTTTCTTGTTGTTGTTGTTTAAACAAATAATATAGTTCAGGGATTCTTTGTTCTTCAAAAATCTCAAAATCAGACTTCTGTGTGGGCCAATTTACTCCCAAAACTTTGAAGCATAACATTCTTCTGGAGTCTATGTGATTACTAGGCCTGCAGGTAATGTTTGCTGACCAATTAGGGTAAAACTTAGAAGATATCATGGATTTTTTTTTTCAAAGACCAAATTTCCACACTGCTCTGATAACTATATTCAAGTGATTTTTAGTATCTTCTCTCTCCTCCACCTTACCCTCTTCTTAAGTTCTGGAAAGACACCATCCAGTCAACTGGAGACGAATACATCCTTCCCTGGGCCACTGCTCCTTTATAGTTTTATGTGTATTGTCTTACTAGTTAGGATGTAAGCTCTTAAAGGGCTGAGATTATATTGTATTTGTATACCTAAGCACTAAGCACTTATTAATGCTTTATTATCCTTCATGTCTAAGTTATATATGGAGGAATAGCAGGACAAATGAAGCTTAGAACCCACAGAAATGAGTGTACAAGCTGGAAGTCAGTGCCTCAAGCCAGTCTGGCAGTCATGTTTTGGTAAAAGACAGTCTAACCAATAAAGCTTTGGATTTTTTTATAATCAATGTATCAAGTACGTTGAAGTACTGTGGGATCTTTTGCAAAGTTCATTTCATATAATCCAGCACCCTTGGGCACACCAAAAACTCAAAAAGGAAAATGGAGGTACAAAAATTGACAAATTGAGAACTTCTTCAATGACACTGTTAATGTTTCTGCCCCTGTGTGCTAGATGGCTACCTGGTAGGATAAGAGTTCTAGCCTTTCTTTTATATTCTCATTTATATTAAAATATACTGCAGCTTGAAATAAATAAAAAAAGAGAAAATTTTTGAAGTTTCAGGGTCCTTCTCTTTTTTCTTAGACTTGTTTCTGCATTATGCTCTTTTGCACAAACACTACAAATGATTTATACTGATTAGATAAAGTATGTGAAATATAAAGTGAATCCTGTAGGATCATGAAAGGCTTATGTAACCACCCAATATGACTAGATGTTGGTAGTTTAATACAAGATCACAAATTACTGCAACGGTAACCATTTTAAACATCTAAAAACAAACAAAATAATGATTTAAACTAGGAAGGATTTAATAAATGCTTTATATCAGAGAAATTGCATTATTTATTTTCTTTGTACATTCTTATCTTTAAGAATTTTACTTATTCAAAAGCTATTCTAAATTCCTACATACAGAATACATTCCAGAAAGCATTTGAAACTTAAGCATTGTAACTAGCTAATTGTGTACTTCAAGGCAAGTATATAAAACTGTGGGCTCCCCTTCTAAAATAATAACAACATGGCATGTTGGGATAGTAGATGTTTAGTTTATATATTTTCTATGAGCTTTTCATGCTAGATGCAAGCACCTTATATTTGGAAATCAGTACTAAATAATTCTTAAACATCAAAACACATCAAAAGTAGACAATTTGAGCCAAGAGGAAAATAACACTAATTGGGATGGCTGAATCAATAATATGAATACAGGTTATGTTGTACTTAATTCAGATGTATAACAATATTTTTGCCCTCTAGCCCTGTGGCCCCACTTTCCCACTGGTGAATTGTTCTTAGAAACTCCATTTTGAGAAAGGAACCAGCCATCCTTCATTCACTGGCCTACACCAAAATAGCCCCTAGAGGTTTCCAAGGGAACTTTTAAACTCCCTTGTCCTGGTCCTCTTTCCCCTCTTTGGGGTACCTTAAGGGTAAAGGCCTTTGTTTTTGCTTGTATTTTTATCCCCAGTGCTTAACATAATGGCTAGCACACAATAAGCCCTTAAATGCTTGTTGACTTGACTTTTTTGCTAGCTGGAAAACAAAAGCCTCAAACAATCTGCCCACCTATTTATAAGCCATCTGTGATCATTCTTTAAACTTAAATAATTTTTCTTTAAATTCAGGGGCAAAAAGATCACTTGTTGCTCTGAGAAAAAAAGTGAAATTCAATTGCACACTCAACAAACAGGTAGAGCTGTTTTTATTTTTCATAGAACTTTTGGAAGAATTCCAGGAATAACAACAAAATCTGCTTTCTTGAAACCAAATATTTACTATTTTTATTAGATTGTATCGACAGTTTTCAGATGGATGACAACTGGAAAGCCCAGGTGTAAGAACTCAGAAAACAAAGTCTTCCAAACTACTAAGTATTCCACAGGGCAATACTCTTCCACCACAGCTGCACAACATATATATGTCAGTACCAGACAGATGCTGTATGTTAACATGATTACCGAGTATTCACCTGAAGAGAAAAGTGATATTGAGAGTTTAAAACGCTAAAATCAAAGAGTTTGCGGAGTTCAAAAGGAATTTTAAAATATCTGGTCAAATCACCTCATTTTATGGATGAGGAAAATCATTATTAGAAGTGATGTGAGGGGGGGACACATAACACTTACTAGCTGTGTGACCCTGGGCTAGTCACTTAACCCCACTGCCTAGCCAAAAAAACAAAACAAAACAAAACAAAACAAACAAAAAAAACCAAACCACAAAGAAAAGAAAAAAGGAGTGATGTGACTTCACCCAACATCAGACAGCTATTTTAGCAGCAAAAGTAGTACTACAATCTGGATATTCTAATTCCTACTTCTGTATTTTCCCACTGTAACACACTAATATTTTAAACTCCTGTTGCACCTTTCAAATTAGTGGCATGAATATTCAGGTGTAGGAGTCAGGTTCCCCCCCCCCCAAAAAAACCCAGTATAGTATAGCACTCTACTATTCTTTCCCAATTGGATTCTCTGCAGTCCTTGCAACTATACTTTGAGTTTCTTCAGCTTCAAGGGTTTATCATGATATAGCTGGAAGAATACTAGTTTTGTACACAAGTCTTTGCTTTGAAACTTTGTGCATAATTTGGGACAGGTTACATCAAGCCTCAGAATCAGAATTTTAGAGTTGGAAGGGACTCAGTGGCCATCTAATCCAACTACAAACAGTTCTGCTATAACACTTGTCTTGAAAACTTGAATTTGTTCCAAGACTGATTCATTAGGGAACATTCTGAGCATAAATAAACCTGGCTTATGGGTGAGAATGGAGAAAACTACACTGCTTCACAATAATTCACAAGCTTTAACCCTTTGGTTGCTCATTTCCATAAGCAAGTTTCAGGTCCTATTCAAGGTAAAGAGACACATTTATTATGCATCTTCTGGTGCAGTAGCTGGAGGTGGGCTGGTCCAGCCCCAACCCCCCTTTTCCACTTTCTGCTCTGACCTCTGGTTTCTCACGCTGGAGTTTCAGCCTGCTCAACCTGCATGAGACCTTGCCAGCTCGACTCATGGGATCTGGGATGCAGCAGCCTGGGTCTATAGATCCTGCCATTATATAAATCATTTAACATGTATAAAACCATGCCACCATGTGTATTAGGTTCCTACCTTTATAAAATATGTTAATGATGAAATTTTTGAATATTGCGACTCTAACCCCATTTCCCCATAAGACCTGTGTTTTTCATTGCTTATGTTGCATAGCAGAATGCTTTTTGAAAATGGAATGTCAAGTTATAGCAGAAGTGACTGCTCTCAAAGGTACTTCCCAGGACAATATAACTGACAAATGATCATCCAGCCAATAACTGAAGGCTTCCAGTAAGGGGGAAGCGACTACCCCCAAGAGCCTATCGACATATAGATAGCTTTAATTGTGAGGAAGGTGTTTCTGACAAGACACCTAAATTTTCGGCTGCCACTTACACCCCTTTATTCCTGGGGGAAAAAGATGTAATATTTGTACTATCTAGCTCACAGTTTTAACAATTAGATGAATTGAAGAGTACAACGTGCTTTATGGTTATATTATGATTACTTTGTTTCTTACATGGCATGGCTTTCAGATCGCTTACTGTCCTCACTGCCCTGCAACTTGTCAGGTTTCCTTTGCGCTAGTTCCATCCCCTACTGGGGACAATCATCCATTTCCAGAGAACACAGACAGCTAGCTGTACAGTTAGAGCTCAAAAATTCATTTGAGGCTCTTCCAGAAGAGGAGGGAGCTAGATGCTCTGAGGAAGAAACTATTTGTCCTCCAAAGAATGATACAATAAAGCCACAGAAGTTATCAGATGAAAAAATTCCTCCTTCTGGTCAGAACAGAAAAAAGGTATTAAGGTAGCTATTTGTCTACCAGATAAGAACAGAAAGGTCTTGGAAGACTTAATAGGGAACCTGCCTGAAATTATCAAAATAAATGACAACTACCCACTTCTGATGAATCACATGGCCACAAATGCTCAATGTCAGAAGGAACCTAAAAAGTATTGTCAAGGGTTGACAACTCTGTTTCTCTCAATTATACACAAATCACATATTCTTCACCTTGAACTCAGTAATCTTATTTCCCTTCTACTTAGGCAAACAACATTGCTCTTGTGGTCATTATTCAAGGTCTAGCATCTTTTAAAATTTTCAACAAAAACTAACTTTTCCTTGTTAAAACCACTGGGTGATAGCACAAGCAAATTTCAATCCCTAGTAGAATAATTATTTGTGAACCATGAAACAACATTAACGATGTTAAGTTAGTTATAATTGCAATCACTTGAAACTGCAGAGAAACTGGACCCATAGTTCACTAAGTCTCTAATCACGAAAAGGTTTTACTTACTAAAAGAAAACGGCCAAAAGACAAGTAATTTAAAAGTACTGATTGATCCATAAGGTTTCTCTAAATAAACACTGAAACAGTAACTTCTTATTTTTTTTCCTAAGCAGAAATGAAGTCTGTATTTCTACTTAGAAAAACTATTCTGCATGTAGAATCAAGTTTTCTTGTGTTATGAATGGAATTTCTCAGGAATTTTTGGTTAGCACTGTTTCACTCTAATTTTTCAAAATGCCTCAATTAATTTCTAAATGGGAATTTATGTCAGAAAAATAGAATCTAAAACTTACCACATCATCAATCTTGAGAATGCTTCGGACTGTTTCAGTAGCCAGGGTCAGAGCACTGACTGACACCAACAAAGGTTGAACTACTAGCTCCTCCAAAATGTTGGAAATTCCACCCTGGAAATTAATATTTTTTTCTTTTATCATGTATACTATTTAACAAACATGTCAACAAAGATAATTTAACCATTATGCTCTTAGCAAAGTTCATTGGACCTGATTTTCTCTTTAGTCTAATGTTAAAAAAAAATTCTCAAAGTCAGGTTCTTTCCTAAGATGCCTTGGTAGTATCTCAACTAAAATTGGGAAACACTGATTTCACAATTTTCTTTCTTCCAAGAACATTTTTTTATGTTACGGATATTATTAAATACTTTTCTTTACATTCATTATTAGGCAGGTCTTTTTATCCAGTTCTATGTATTTTTGTGTCTCAAATTTCATAACAACCTATCCATTTCTCAGCTGGAACCTTATTAATAACTCATATTTCATACAGTACTTTAAAGTTTACAAAGTATTTTCCTCATGACAACCCTCTAAGATGGATAGAGCAAGTATTATCCCTATCATATAACTGAGAAAATAGCCTTAGAGAGGCGATGTAACCTGTCAGAGGTTACAAAGCAAGCACCAGAGTTGGCATAGGAGTCCAGGCCTTCTGACTAGGGTTTTTTCCTATTATACCATAATAGCACCAGGCCTTTATCCATATACATCAGTTATTCCAGTTGCTGCCTAATTTGTATCTCTTTGTCTCCAATCCTGAACAAAGCCACCTATTTCACCTATGAATCTACCATTCCAAAATCTGCAATGACTTCCCTACAGAATGACATTCAAAATCCTTCCTTAGCCCTACATTCAACTCTATTATGTGGTCTTGCTCTACCTTTGCAACTTTATCTTTTGCTATTCTCCCAAAACAAAACTACAATTTAAATATGTTCCCTGAAGATGTTTGCTTAGTTCTGCCCACATAACTTCACTCCCTATACTTTTATTTCCCTTGACTAGAACACCCTCTTAATATTGCCTCCAGATCTACCCATACTTCAAGGTCTCAATCAAGTACCATATTCTCAATAGTAGTAACAACAGTTACTATTGATGGCACTTTTAAGGAAATATATAATTCTATCTTCCAAACAACCCTGGGAGGTAGGTTCTATAATTTTTACTTTACAAATGAAGAAACCGAGGCACAGAGATATTTAGAGACTTGCCCACAGTCACACAGCAAATGTGTCTGAGGTCAGATCTGAATTCAGGCCTTTCTGCCTCTAGGTTTAATGCTCTATCCACTATGCAACCTAACTGCTCTTAACAAGACCAACCCCTCCTACACTGGTCCAGTAATCTTCAGCTACAGGTCTCCTATCAACCTATCTCCTATCTCCTATCAACCACTCAATGTATACTGCTGCCTTGTACTGGCAGTTTACTTATTTCATACGTACACAATGTCTTCCTGGTAAATACTTAGATCCTGGAGGATCTAGGAATCCTGCATTATACCATTCTGTAACAGGTTTCAGAAGTTATTTCCTCAAATTTAGGCTTTGCCAGACATTACCTCACTATTCATGCCAAAAGAAACTCCCTCTAGCTAGATCAGGATGAATCTATTTTCATTTCACACTTGCTTTCCTAATCAGTTCTTATAAAGAATACTATACCTATTTCTGAAGCTTATACACAAACAATTAAGCAGGTATATCAGAGGTTCCTAACCTGGTATCTGAAAACTTTCTTTAACAAAATATCGATAGCCGTATTCCAATAAAATTGCCTTCCTTTATAATCCTGTGCACGTTATGCATTTAAAATTATTCTGAATTGTCTACAGTTTCGCCAAATTTCTAAAGGTGTTCATAGCACAAAAAATGTTAACTCATTTATAGAGTGCTTATGTTGTTTGTCAAGTACTTTGCTTGAAGTAAAATCAGTCATCCTCAATTCTTCTACATGAAGTCTTGTCAATTTTACCTCGACATTTCCTCTATCCATTCCCTTCTTTCTACTCACATAGCTACCCTTATTTTAGGCCCTCATCAATTCTTGCTTAGACTACTGCAACAGCCTAAGTGGACTCCCTATCTCAAGTCTTTCTTCACCCTTTTGAATTCATCTTTCACACAGCTGCCTAAATAAAAATCTTACAGCTCCAGGAGCTTCTAGGATCAAATACAAACGCCTTTGTTTTTTTACTTAAAGCCTTTACAATCTAGTTCCAGCCTATCTCTCTCTATGTATACACAACTGCCCTCCAAAGTGGCACACTGGCTATTCTTTATACATGACCTCTACCTCCTTTCTTTATGCCTCTGCACGCAAACGTTCTCACTGCTCGGTTCAAGTGCCAGCATCTACTTAAGACACTTTTCTGATTCCTCCTTTCAGCTGTCAGTGCCACCCTCCACAAAAGCTTACTTTGTATATATATCTTGTCTATGTACATACATACATAGACATTGCTCCCCAAATAGAATGGAAGCACTCTGAGGAGAGGGATTATTCATTTTGGTCTCTTTATCGCCCATGCCTAGCACAGTACCTGACATAATGCAAATATTTCATAAATGCCTGCTGATCGATTAAAAAAACATTATTACCTTTCGGACATTAATCCCTGCAGTGGTCTCTCCCTGAGCATGTCGATTTCTTAATTCTGTTACAGTAGAAATGGGATTAAGGCCTGCATTTTCAGCTAGAGTAGATGGAATGACTTCCATTGCATCTGCAAAAGCACGGACGCAATATGACTCCATCCCACTCAAAGTTCGTGAATATTCAGTTAAACGCAAGGCCAGCTCTATCTCTGGAGCACCACCTCCTGCAATCAGAGCTCTGAAACAGACAAGACAGGTTTATGGCTAATTTTCCCAAGCAGATAACTGTTCAAACATTAAGAGAACATCTTTCAAATATTTTACTACTTCTAACTACTCAATAACCGCATTTTTAATTTGTTCTATCCAGGCCTACAATTTCATCAGTATAGGGAATCTGTGGTGAAGACCTTCTAGTAATGCAGGTTAGTGTAAAACCACACTAAAACTTTTGGGACAATGCATGTATATATGTGTGTATGCATGTATGTATAAATATACTAAATAAACATATGGCCAAAGCACACAGAAATCATGTACTAAATTATCAAAGGGTAAAACTGACAAAACACATTACCTCTTTTTTACTAAACAGCGAATAACACATAAAGCATCATGAATTGAACGCTCAGCTTCTTCAATCACCAATTTGTTGGATCCACGAACAACAATAGTAACTGTCTTTCCAGGGCTTGCACAACCCGTAATCTACAGGGAAAAAAAAGCATTATTAGCTACCTAGTGCAGTGAAGAAAGCTAGCAAATTCAAACTTAATTATATGCTTACTTTGAGCAGTTTGCCAGAACCATTTAAGCTGACCTCCTCTGCTAGCTCAGCAGAGCCAAGCATTTCAGGAGTGAACTGGTCAATATGGGCAACTGGTTTGGTTCCAATTGTCTGTAAAAATAAAATCAAATCATAAAACACAATGTTTATAAAAATGCAAAATGTAACTCATAAACTCATTTTATAAAAGTTTAAAAAAAAAACTCGCTTACCTTACAAATAAATTCAATGTCTTCTCTTTCAATATCCTTAACCACCATAATCTTCATTTTGTTTAGGAAATGTAATGCAAGATCACTAAGAGCATCCCTAGAACAAGCCAAAAGTTGAAATGCCATCAGTGATCCTGTCAATGTGAGAAAAAAGCTCTATTCTGTTCAACTGCTTTACGTTTTCTTTCACCACTATTAATGTGACCAAGCAGTTAATCAGACAATTTAACTGTTCAGTAACAGTTGTTTTAATTGTACATAAAATGGGGGAGCTCAAAATCCTTTGTAAAAATAAAAGTTAGATTTCCAAAATGTTATTAAACATAGTACAGATAATCAAAGGTTAATCAGAAAGAGAATTTTTATTATTAAGAGAAAATACCTTGGGTTTTATGATTCTTTTGCTAGTACGAACTCTGTAATTACAAGGGATCTCTGATATTTCATTCATGTGGGTTGTTGAGTCATTTCAGTCCTGTCTGACTCTTTGTGATCCCATTTGGGGCTTTCTTGGCAGACAGTAGTTTGTAATTTCCTTCTCCAGTTTATTTTACAGATGAGGAAACTGAGGCAAACAGGGTAAAGTGATTTGCCCAGGGTCACACAACTAGTGTCTGAGGCAGGATTTGGACTCAGACCATCCTAACCTCAGGCCTGGCACTCTATTCACTGTGCCACCTTGCTGCCCCTATTGATGTGGGTACATCCTACAATAATGTACACTACAATCCATGTACATCTCACTATAATTATACATACACACATGCATGCACTCACTAAAGAGTGGCTTTACCCATGTGCTAAGGCCTTCCTCTCTTTGGGCCATGTAGGGATAACACCAGAGAATGAAGGCTCTCCATTCACCACTTGTCCTTCCTTGTTTGCATAAACAACTCAGCTTTCCCCCAACCCCCTCAATTATACATTTCTCTGATAACATTCTACATAAGTCTTCATCTGTAATGTGTTGGTTATGGTTTGCTCATAGTTAACACACAAGTCTACACTACTCTCTGAGTGATAATTCTTCAGATACTATGTCTCACAGAAGGACCACGAGAGGGACACTGATGTAAAAAGATAAATCATCATTTCAGAGAGAAGCTTGGGGTCAATTAAAAGAACTGTGCAGTTTCCCAAAGACACTCTAGCCCACATTCCTATTCAATTCTGCGCACAAATCATTGTCTATGCATAGTGGCTATTTGAGATATATGTATGTCTCACCAGGGACCTCATTTAGGAAATTTTACAGTATTTCTGGGTTTAAGGCAATCAGCATGTCCTCCTCCAACAGAAGCATCCGGAGGACCTTACCACTCTAATACCACTTTGGTTGGACTCTGCCATTGTCAAGGAGGATGACCAGTGCAAACCCCTTAGGTGAGTACACTGTTTCATGCCTCACTTAATAATTAATAATTAAAAGTTGCAGAACAAAGATACCTATTTTTACATCTTTCAAGGAACACCATGAAAGAGAAGACAAAATGGCAAACAGTAATAGGTGACACTCCTCCACATTTTGCAATGATGTTGGGAGAGTGGTAGAAAAAGGGCAGACGATGCCAAGAATTACATTAATTATTAGACCATCTCTAAACATTAACTGTTGATACTTTAAATGTGAGGCTCATCTTGTTGTTCAGTCGTTTCAGTCATGTCACACTTTCCATGACCTAATTTTGGAGTTATCTTGACAAAGATATTGGAGTAGTTTGCCTTTTCCATCTTCAGCATTTTACAGATGAGGAACTTCCTCATCAGGAAGATGAGGTCTTAATTCCAAGCCCAATGCTTTATCCACTCTGCCACAGCTACCCCATAAGAGGTTCTTAGCTAATGTATGATGTACAGAGGGAATTAAATCTAGTAATTTTAATAGTCTTGCTATGCTGGTTTTATCCAGGCTCCAAGAAACATTTCATAAGACATTGGGTTGTCTCATGTAATAGTATTTATGAAGAAATAGGATAAAACCCCAAGAATTCCAAATTCATCAATTCACAGTTGAGAGAAATGTCAAACTTCAGAGACACTCAAATGAGATTAAAACGGAAAAATGTTTAACCAAATAAATAAAAATATAACATAACATTAATTTGTGGTATTCTAAATCTGTTTGACACCCGTAGTCCAGACAGTCTATTGTGTCCTTTGCTTTATAGTCACATTACTTTTCACCTCTGAGACCTACTGAAGCTAAAACTGAAACCTAATGGACAATCCTTAAATTGTCCTCTTGCTCAGTTAGTATCATCAGGGCTTTCCTAAATTTGTTTAAAATGCACATTAATCTTAAAAAGACTTAAGAACTCTGACCAATGCAATGATCAATCAAGGCTACAGAGGAAGAATGATGAAACGTTACCTTCTGATAGAGGAAAGATGGATTTAAGGAGCAGAAGGAAACATAAGGGCATGGCAAATGTGTAGATCTGTTTAGCTTGACCATACTTAATTGTTAAAAGGACTGTTTGTTCCTGTTTTTTATTTACGGGAAGAGATTTGGGGAAGTTAGCAGTAAAGAAGTTTAGAGGGAAACAGAGAAGCAGGACGGCTTTGAAAAGAACATTTGAAATTTATTTAATACTTTCTTTAAGCAAGAAGGCATGAAATAGGTATGTGGTTTCACATTTTGTAAATGAAAATGTTTTCTCTTTTTTGGGGGGGCAGTCTGTTAAATTACGAATAACATTTTTTAAGAAAGAATGCTAGTACCACTTTTTTCTACAGGGCCAGTTTTGTCTTCTGTACTTGATTTTCTCTCTCATACTGCTCATACTTTGTAATTAGTGTGTACCTTTATGCCTATTTGCTCAGATGCCAGCTGAATTCCAACAATACGAAGTGCTGATCAGTCTTTTCACTGCACTAGCTCTGTCTCCCACTACATTTTTCCAAATGCTCTAGGGCACTACTGGGTATCTGACTTTTGTTATAGCATCAGGAAGACAAAGTAGATAAAGTTTATTGAATTCTAAAAAGGGTTCTCACACATTGCCTCTCTTTTCTCCTGTCCAAGAATTCTGACACTTTAAAATATCTTCTATTTTAAAGAATAAGACTGTATTTTCTTAAATATGTCCACTAATTTAAACATTTTTCACCTGAAATTTTCATGGTTTTATTATAAAATTTCATTTACTAAAGGCTGCTTGATTAACATTCATTAATCAGTTGCTTCAGCTGGCAATTTTGTTTTGTTTTGTTTGTTTTATTTTTTGGTGAGGCAATCAGGATTAAGTGACTTGCCCAGGGTCACACAGCTAGTAAGTATCAAGTGTCTGAGGCTGGATTCAAACTCAGGTATCCACTGTGCCATCTAGCTGCCCCTCAGCTGGTAATTTTTATGCTTGTTTTGGTAATCATTCAAGAGAAATTTTATGTCACTGGTTTATAGATTTTCTAGAAGTATTAATGATTCTCTCCTATAGCCATCCTTTTTTGTTTTCCAGCTAGCTTTCATTAGGTCTGTTAAGAATTACTTTGATGAAAACGAAGATAAATGTTGAATTACTTATAGTGGTACTGAAAAATCACCATTACCATCAACAATAAACACAAATTATGAGATGGTTGTTAAGATTAATGTATTGATTTTCTATATCTCTGCTTTCTATATGGAAATTAGAGGGAAAAAAGGTACCAGAATATACCTTTTCTGTTATTAAAATGAAATATAATATTTTTCAATTAATAAACACTGCTTTTCACTCCCTCAAACTTTCAAAAGGAGAAAAAACCCTCATAACAAATAAGCATAATCAAACAAAACAAATTCCCACAATGGCCATATTGATATGATCAAAATATATTTTGAGATAGCCTTTTATGACCTTTTCAAGAATTCTGCACCATCCAAATCATCTCCACAAACCTAAATCTTAAAGTTTAGAGTAGTTCTAGCTTTGCTTTTATGACTTGCTATTGGCACTGAGTTATTTGAGATTAGGGGTCAGAGAAGAAAACTCCTTGACTGCTACATACACTGCTATATGGGGAAAAAGGAGCAGCCTTATAATTTACCTCAGGAATGTACTGTGGAATAGGATAGCCCTGGATCTCGGATTATAATTGACTACACAGAGTTCTACTAACATATTTATAAATATCTATTTCTTACTAGAAAGCAAAGTCAAATAAGTTTTTAAATATTAAATAAGATGTATTTCATATCACTTACCTTAGAATAGATTTCTGTACGAGGAGTACATTACATCCAGACTTCTTAATCTGCTTCACTAAATTGAGAATATAAGCTCTCTCTTCTCTCAATACTCTGTCCATTTGAGCATAGTCAGAAACTACAATTTGATTATCCATCTGTTGAAAGGGAATATGAAAATTGTGCATTTTAAGCTTTTAAAAAGCATGTTAGAAATGATTGATTATAATTAATTACGATTCTATTTACAAAGAACAGAATAGATAAAAAAAAAAATGACAGTAAAGTAGCAGGACATATGAGGAAATCTAGGAACAGAGTTTGGAAAAGCATCTGGGTCATGATCATGAGAGAAAGTAGTAAGTTCCTTGAGGGCAAGGACTACTTCACTTCTCTATCTTCATTTTCATCTGTATTCTTACCATCCAGCACAGTGTACTACAAGACAGGTGCTTAGGTAGGGATACAAAGGCTTGGGCTGGGATAGAAATACAATCTTGTAGATGAAATATACTGCACAGCACTTGCTAGGAAGAGGGAGTTTAGCAAACAGATCATAAACCTGCCTGGCATGATATGGTGATGATGGGGCATATTAACTATCTGGATATTTGTTGGATTTGTGCTAAATGCAGAGCCAAATGATAAATTTTTCATTTGCTTTAATTATAATTTCATTGTTTAAAATACAACAGAAGTCTTGAGAAGAATTATTATTTTGAACCTAATTCTGTTTAATCAAGAACTGGCTGTTTAAGTAGAGTACTAGGAATTTTGGAATAAAGCAGCCATTCCATCTTCAAAAAACTAAGCATGGTTCAATGTAAGCCTTAAACTCTGGGACAGAAGATATCAAAAACACAGCATCATGCCCTAAATTGTGCAGGGCAGGTCAGCTCAAGAAGAATGAGAAATAATTATATAGAATGAAATTCTGATGGCAAAATCAAAAACTATTGTAATGAGTAGGAAAAGGGAGAATTATCTGGAGAGAGATGGATATGGGAATTCGGTAACTTAGATTTTAAAAGACATAAAAAGAGAACAGTAGTAAACATGGTTCTCATATTTGCACTTGACAAAGTTGGGAGCAAACTCATTGGATGACAGTCATAACTGAAGAAAGCTGGTCAAGATGATGAGCAAAATATAACCTAATAAAATGGAAATTCAGAGTTAAGCGTCAAGTTCTCCACTTTGATTCAAAACAGTCAATTGTACAAATATAGGATGGGGAAATATGGCAATATAGCAATGCACATAAAGAGTCTAGGGGTTTTAGTGGACCATCTCATTATGAATTAACAGTATGACACAGCAGCCAGGAACACTAATGTGATCTTAGGATGCATTTTTATAAATACAGTGTTCAGAATAAGACACCCATGAAAGATTTTTTTTTTTAGGCAATTGGGGTTAAGTGACTTGCCCAGGGGTTAAGTGACACAGCTAGTAAGTGTCAAATGTTTGGTCTGAGGCCAGATTTGAACTCAGGTCCTCTTGACTTCAGCGCCGGCGCTCCATCCACTGCGCCACCTAGCTGCCCCAAAAGATATTTTTAAATAAAGAGTTGACACATGGAAGATAAATTGGACTTACTCTACTTGATCTCAGAGGGGAGAACTTAGAGTAAAGGACAGAAGCTACAGAGAGGTAAATTATCAGCTTGATGTAAGAAAAACACCGTAACTGAATTCCTAAATCTGTCCAAAAGTAAAATGGGCTTCCTCAGGAGGTCTTAAAAATGCTAGAAGACCATTCATCAGGAACTATTAAGATCCCTATTGAGGCATAGGTTAGACTATTAGATGACCTTTGAGACCATCTTCCAACTCTTAAGTTTTTTTGATCATCTGAAAAAGATGTCAGGACAGTCCTCTTAACTGTCAAAATAATGAAGACTATTATATAGGTAAGAATGAAGTAATATTTTAGGAGTGGAAATGTTGGAAGAGACATAGACTCAGCTACTTGTTTTTACTCATGTCTGTCACAGCAGACAAGGTGACAATTCTTTGGGTTCACATCCTTTTACATTATGCCTCTAGGAAATGTAATATGTATGGCATTGTTAGAAGACTACCCAGCATGCTGACTTTAAATATGTTAACATAGTGCTTTCTCCAAGATAAAGACACCGAGGTGATTTTGGCTCCTTCCCATTTATTGGTGCTTAGCCACCTGTCTACTCAAATAGGGGTAACGATCAGAATCAGACTTACGTACATCTGTTTTAGGAGCAGATAAACAGAACTGAATGAGCCCAATCTTAGCCTTCTCAACTCTGGTTACGCCGGTGTTTGCCACTTTCTGAGTTAGGACCAACCCTTCCACCAGTTCACAGTCATCAATTGTTCCTCTAAGTAAAACAAAAGAGAGAAAGCGTGTAAGTTTTAAACCTAAAGTCGTAAACTTTTAAAAAATATTAGAACCTTTCTAATTTATATTGGCCCCACTCATGGGCATCTCTCATCTTATTCCCCTAACATAATGAGGTGAAGAGAACAAATTCCTATCTGCCATGAAGACATTCAGAATTCTCACAATGATAGAACCACCAGAAAAGAAGAAAACCCCAATCCTTGTTGGTCCTATTATCTGATTCCATTTTTGTCATAGAAATCATGCTTATGGGAAACATTAACTCTGATTAATGAAAGTAGTAAGTATAGATTTTTCTCACCCAAGCTTCTTAACTATTTTAATGTCTCGAAGATCGACACTAGTAGCTGTTGTTGGGTCAATCACCTTCATCACGGCATCTACGCTCATTGGAGAAAGCAGGCTTGAGTACTGAGATACAACCTAGAAGTATTCAGTTTTTAAAAAGGTCAACTCTAAAAGTGGTAAAGGAAAACTGCTTACTATAGACAAACACTATCTTCTCTAATGATAAACATAAAGAAAAATGACAGTTTTGGAGAAATTAAAAAATTGTTTTTTACTACAAAAACACTATTTTACTTCCACGTTTGCAGATGAGGTAAGTTTCTCACCAATACTTTGTTAACCTTTTTTTTTTTAAAAAAGCAAAAACAAGATTAACAGTTCAATTTTCCAAAAACAGATTAATACTCTTCTGGCATAAAGCAGCACTAAGTACTTTTGGATACTCATAGTTCCACCATATCAACTAGCATCCCCTGTATCTTCAGAACAGCAAGAAGCTTCATTCAATATTAAGGTATTGGCAGAATAGTTCTAGCACATTTGAAAAGGCAATCATTATGGGCACAATCTAGTCTTGGTCCCACGACCAAAGATCAAGGGAAACATATGAGTCTGGCATTGAGAGAAGGAATGAAGTTAAAACAGGAAAGTCAGGAAAACCAAAGATGCTAAGATGCTAGGAGTTATCAAACTTTCAGTAAAATTTTAAGCAGCACTATGTTAATCACTGAGTTTGCTGAATGATTAACAAGAGTAAAGTCACATTTACATAGCACTTAAAGTTTACAAACCTAAAGAAGGTTCTATGGAGATGTTTCTGATTTAAGACAAAGGAAAGAGTCTTAAAATGTTGCTCCACAACTACAATAATGTTTTCTTTCCAACTACAGAGCAAAGAAAAATCTCCCCCTTTCTTCAGCCTTCATATCACTGGAAAGATTCTTCAACAAAACCAAAAGGGCACAATTTCAATAGTCTTTAACTCTTCATACCTTTGAGTTTAGTGAAGTGGTTGCACTATTTAGCAATGTTTCTCTGTCACTCAGTTCCACTGGCTGTGCCATTTTGGTTAAGACTTCAACACCTCTATCCAAAGCTTTTTGGAATGATTCAGAAATGATGGTTGGGTGAATCCCTGTGAAGTTTCAAACTCAAGTTGTTAATTAGTCATTTAATTACTAGAACTACATCTTACTTACCATTGCACATTTGTTAAATTGTTTTAATTACACTACTTTAAGAATGACATTTTTTAAAAAAATTAATTACATTATTGGTTGAGTTATATCAAGTTTCTTTCCATGAAAAACCAGTCTACAATTAGTAAAGGAAAAATAAGTCTTATCTACTCATGAAAGACCTCATTATTCCAAAATAAACCCTAATAACTTTTCTACAGAAAATCATCTTTATCCTACCACTACTTAGCAATAATATAAACTCAACCTACCCTTTTGGAGAAGTTTGGTACAGGAATCCAAAAGAGATCCAGCAATGATAACAACAGATGTGGTACCATCACCAGCTTCAATATCTTGTGCTTTGGAGAGCTCTACCAACTAAAAAAGAAAATACAGAAATTTGCCCAATTTTAAGTGACAGGGCACATTAAGACCTGATTTAAGTAACAGGTCAACAGCCCTGTTAAGGTACTTTGATAGTCTTGACAAGATCATGAGGCTTCGGCTACACATAAAACTTTAGAACGGGTTTCAGCATGTGCATTTATGTCAAATTTAAAATTCAATGCAAAAGCAAATTGCAAGAGGAAAAAAATATAAACTCTATAGTGTCATAAATTTGCCTTTCTGGAAAACTTAAAATTCCACAAGAGAATGAATGTTACCCCCTTCTCACTCCTCATCCCCCCAGGGTATGTAGTGAAAGCATTAAGAAGGAAAATTCTGCACAACTAGGGAGGGGGGTGGGGCGGAGGGGGAAACATGTGGAGTGGGGCAGGAGGAAGGATAGTAGATTTTGTATTTCCCTAGCTGCACAGAATCTCATGTATCATGATCATTAATTGATTCTAGAATGTTCACTCCTCCACATAAGGGCTATTTATTTGCCTCATCATGGTATGGGAGTTAACTGTGTACTCTCAAAGAATACACAGAATACAAACTCTGGCAGGTCCAGAGTAGAAAAACTAAGAATGGGACCAGGATATCTAGGAACAAAGACAGTCCCTAGGAGGTTGGCTACCAAGTAATGAATGTCAGCATGGTAATATGGAAGTCAAAAAAGACTAAAAAGCTTTTCTATCACGAAGTGGAGGAGTTTGAGAGTCCTACTGACACTGAAGTGATACATTTTTGAAAACACAGTTTTGAACAGGGGCCTGGTCACAGATTGGATGCCGGTTATTCAGGAGCTTAGTTAAGTTCTAAGAGGCTCATAACTATGTTTGTCAGAGTGACTTTTTTTTTTTTGCCAGAGTGATTCTTGAATCAATTAATGAAAATGAATACAAAAGGCTACTATGTACCAGACACTGTGCTGAATGTTAAGGATACAAATGCAAAAGTAAGACCCCTCTAAGGGGGCTAGTTTAAACTAGAATACCAATACATTCACAAATAAGTAAATAGGGTATGAATGCAAAAGAAATACAGAGTAATAGGCAGGGGGTGACTCAAAACTGGGGGAATCAAGAAAGACCTCTTGAAGGAACTGGCACGAAAGTCAAGACTTGAAGGTAACTGGGTGCTCCAAAAGGCATGTGTGGAGAGATAATATGCCAGGCATAAAGGGAAAGCCTTTGCAAAGACACAATAAGAAAAGATTAGGATGTCACATAAGGTGAACAAGCAGTATGTCTTGGCTAGTCTAAGTGCAGAATGAAGGACAGTAATCCATAATCGGTTTGAAAAGAGAGGCTGGAGTCAGACATTCAATGGTGCCCAATGGAGTTTGCATTTGATCCTAAACGCAATTGTAAGTCATTAAAGCTTTAAGACTATGCTAAACTGCAAAATGATGAGATTGATTTGTCTTTTTTATTGACCTTATTTACAGTTAACTGATTTTGTCCAGTAGCTGCCTAAATCATGGTTATTTCTCAAATTAGTTCAGAAATTCAGCTGGTCTGTAATAAATTAAATTAAATCCAGTTCTCCTGCTAATCATTTCTATTCTTGCCTCAAGGAAATCTGCTATCCTTTGGGAATGTGGGAGGCCACCAGGGGGTCTGGTCTGGCATCTTTGTATCCTTTAAGGACACTAGTGTGCTATCCAAAAATGTCTGGTCTACTATCTTTATACTTGCAGGTAGGCTCAAATGGTGACTATGTGTTAGTCACAGGAGAGAAGAAGGGGGTTACTGCTAGCCCCTCATTCCCAATTTCCAAACAATCATATTGTCCCCCATGCCTCAGCTCCATAACCTATCATATTGATTTCACCATTCATGATATTGAGCTCTTTTAACCAATCATAACTTGTTCCCTGCCTACGAAGTACTATTCTTTGTTCTGTATTCCCCAAAGTATAAAAGAAAGCTATGCCCCTCATTTGGAGTCGTGGCTTTGCTGAGGAAGCTAAGATTTTATTTATTGGTAAGTTCACACTTTACTAATAAACTGATTGTGCTTGGAACATTGTGCCTCAGTTTACCTCCACTTTAACTGTTACAATTGTAAAGTGGAATGTACTGTGTCAGAGAATGCTCACATTAACAAAACTCACAGATCCTCAAAGTATTGAAGTAAGAAGATGTAACAAATGTTTATCATACTTAGATGTCATGGAAATGATAAACTGAAGTTTAAATTAAGGTTAAAAAGTAGTTTGTCATGTAAAAGAAAAACTATATATTTACCATCCTGGCTGCTGGATGCAAGACCTGCATTTGTTTCAAAATTGTAGCACCATCATTGGTAATGGTCACATCACCTTTTCCATCTTGAATCTAGAAATTTTTTTTTATTAAAAAACAAAACAAAAAAGACAAAATTTCTTTAGTCAACATTAATTTGATTTTTAAAAATGTTCTACTCATAGTTAAAAGCTTAATAGTAATGTTCATATTATCTTTTATATATAATGCATCCAACTTCTTAACACCCAAACACTTTCACACTGGCCTTTATTTTATGTTCAGTTCCACTTTATTGGTTAGAAAACTGAGGAGCAGAAAAATGAAGTCTCTCCACCACATGTCACAGGTAAATAGAGGCAGTTAGGTAGCACAGTGGACAGAGAACACTGGGCCTGAAGTCAGCAAGATCTGAGTTCAAATCAGCCTCAGACCCTTACTGGGCAAGTCATCTAGCTTCTATCTGCCTCAGTTTCCTCAACTGTAAAATGGAGATAATAACAGCACCTACCTCTTAAGGTTGTTGTGAGGATCAAATGAATATTTGTAAAGTGTTTAGCACAGTGCCTGGCATATAGTATACTTAACAAATGATTCCATTCCAAACAAAACCCAAATCTCCTAACTTCTAGCTTACTCCTTCCTAGAATTCATTCAGTAGATCTCTATATTACTGAGTTCTCACTATTATTAAAGCATTTTCAAATATTCATTAATGATACTGATGTACAGTTCTTTGCTTTACCTTACCTTGTTTAGGTATTAGGATTATAATTGTTTGATAAAAGGAGTCTATTAAGAGTGACTTCTCAAATTTGTATAGCACAGATATTGTTATTTTAAAATTATATAGAATTAACCAAGAGTTTTCCCTCCCTTTGGTTTACAGCTAGTTTTATTTCCTTTTCTGAGGCTGTATTATTTAAGATCTCTATTTGGTTTTCTGTTAAAGTATTTTATATTTTTGAAGGCATTCTTCTATTTCTCTTGTGTTCTCAAGTTCTGTTATCATACATGTTGTAGCTTAGAATAATTAAATTTTTTTTCTTTTTCTTTGTATTGTGTGTGCTATCACCTCATTCGTTTTTTTGCTGATTTGATTTTTTACCCTATCCTTTTTGGTTTCCAGTATGTTTCTTTTCTCATTTTCAATATCTCTTCTTTTGTGCTTATTTTAGATTAGCCTTCTAATTTTAAAAAATGCACATTAAATTAATTAACCATCTCTTTTTTGATTTTGTTAATGCATGTTTATAAGGATGTAATTTTCCCCTGTGGACTGCTTTAGCTGTCTCCCAGAAATTGTTATGTTGTTTCATCATTATCATTTTCTTTCACATAATTATTGTTTAGGATTCAATAATGAATATTGATTTTAAAATTTTAAATGAAATCCTGATAAACATACTACAGCAACTGATCTAGGAAATCATCAAATTGGACTTGTATTAGAGATTCAAGGATGGTTCAACATTAGGAAAACAATCAACATAAAATTAACAACGCCCCAAATCACATGACTATCATAGCTACAGAAAAAGGCTTTCACAAAACATTAACATTCACTTATGCTAAGAACATCACGAAGTAATGGCAGAGAGGGAATTTTTTTAAAATATAAAAAGTATTATCTAAAACCAAAATCAAGCACTATATTCAATGGGGACATACTAGAAGCTTTTCAATTAACATAGGAGTCTTTAAGCATAGACAACAACTCTGCTATTTTTTGGTAAGAGTTCTAGAAATGCTAGCAATAGCAGTAAGAAATAAATTAAAGGCATAAATATAGGTTAAAAGGAGATAAAACTACTGATGATATAATGATTTACTTAGAAAATTCCAGGGAATCAAAAAAGATACTAAGTAAGATTATAGCTTTGGCAAAGTTGCAAGGTTCAAAATAAACCCTCAAAAATTAATAGTATTTCCATATATTAATAAAATCCAAAAGTCAATAATAGAAAAAGAAATCTTGTTCCACGGAACTATAAAATGCATAAAATACGTGGGGATCAATCTACTGAAACCCACAAGATACTTATATAGATTTAATTACAAAGCGTTCCTTAAAGAAATAAAGACCAACTTAAAGAGCTGGAGAAACATTCAGTACTCATGGCCGAATAAAAAAAAGCAATACTATCAAAGCTAACTTACAATTTTAATGCTGTATCAATCAAAAGGGATACTTTATCAAACAACAAAATTCACTCAAAGAAATAATATATCTAGAATAGAAAGGGAAATGATGAAAAAAGGTTGGGAAAAGAAGGAATAACACTTCCAGACCTCAAAACCATTTGATATTAGTTAAAAAAAATAAGAGATGTAGAACAATGGAACTCAATAACTGTCTCCAATCAACAGAAAAATATAAATTACTTCTGGAAAGAACTCTTTGATTAAAAAAAAAAATGACTGGGAAAACTGGAAAGCAGTCAGCCAGAAATTAGGCTTAGACATATCGTTTTCTTTAGGCGTTTTCTCTCAACCGTTTCGGGGTTTCTTAGCAAAGATACTGGAGTGATTTGCCATTTCCTTCTCCAATGAGGAAAATGAAGCAAACAGGATTAAGTGACTTGCCCAGGGTCACATAGCTAATATCTGAGACCATATCTGAACTCAGGTCTTCCTGATTCCAAACCCAGTACTCTTATTCATTGCACCACCTAACTGTCCTAGATATATCATATTCCACAATAAATTCAAAATGGATACATGATCTGAATAATAAAGATCTATTGCAAAAAAGAGATCATATACTTTTCATGGCTACAGATATGAAATGTATTCTTTTTCAAACATTTATTCTAGTTTTCAACATTCAGTTCCTTAAGATTTTAGAGTTCCAAAATTTCTCACCCTCTTTCCCCTTAATTCTCCCCAAGACAGTGGGCAATCTGATATAGGCTCTACATATATGTTCATTTTAAACATATTTTCACAGTCATGTTATAAAAAAGAATTAGAACCAATGGGAGGAACCACGAGAAAGATGAAACAAAACAACAACAAAAAAGAGAGCAAATAGTATGCTTAATCTGTATTCAAACTCCACAGTTCTTTTTCTGGATGTGGATAGCATTTTCCATCATGAGTCTTTTGGAGTTGTCTTAGATCCTTGCATTACTAAGAAGAGGTAAGTCTATCAAAGTCAGTCACCACGCAATGTGGCTGTTACTGTGTATGATATTCTCCTGGTTCTGATCACTTCATTCAACATTAGTCCATGTAAGTCTTTTCAGGTTTAGGAAATATATTCTTACCCAAAGAAGCAATAGAGACAATTACAAAATATAAAACAGCTAACTTTGATTACATTAAATGGACAAGCATCTGCGCAAATTTAGTGCATCTAGGAGAAGAAGGAAGTGGCTGAACATGGAAAAATATTTGTATCAAATTTCTAAGAACATATCTCAGTCTCATCTTGCCCTTCCTCTCCCACACTCTCAAAAGCACTTTCCTCCAGAGATACCAATAGATAGATATCTGTGTCAAAGAATACATAAATGAAGTCCTCAAAAGAAGAATTATAAATTATCAACCACCATACTATTACTAAGCATAGAAAAGAATGGTCCAAATCACTAATAACAAGAGGAATGCTGAATGCAGATCAAAACATACTATTTGCCATTTTTTTTCCTTGTTCTGTTTCCTCTTTCTGGTGGTTCCTCCTATTGGTTCTAATTGTTCCTTAGAACATCACTAATGTGAAAATAAGTTTGATAGTAATGTATAGATATAACCTCTATCAGATTGCGAGCCATCTTTGGGAGGGAGGAAGGAAAGGAGGGGGAGAAAAATTTAAAACTCAAAAGCTTATGGAGGTGATTGTTGATAATTCAAAATAAATTCATAAAAACAACAACAACAAAAAACAAACAAAAAAAACCAAGAGGAATGCTAATCAAAACAACTCTGAGGTTTCACCCTAAATCCTGCAAAATGGAAAGATGATCTACTAGTTGTTTCCATGCAGCCTACAAACACATCCGTGTCTCTCCTATCCTACTGGTGGAGCTGTGAATCCAGAAAAACAGAATGGAAAGCATTCAGAATAAAGTAAATAAAGTGATTAAAATGTCCATGCCCTTTGATCTAGAGATTTCACTACTAAGCTTATACCCTAAGAAGGTCATTGAATAAAGTCCTCATATATATATCAAAACAACTCCTTTCCCCAATTCCCCCAAAGATACCTTTTTATTTCTAAGAATGGTATAAGCCAGCAAGCTGAAAATTAGCTCTAACTTAGGCTACGATCGCTGCTCATCTGAGAGATGGATTAGATTTCCATCATGAAACTGGAAGGGAGAGAGGAGCTAGGCAGAAGGATAAATGGCAAAAATATACAGACTTATAGGTTTTCCAGACTTAGAGCTTTATTACATTATTTCAATACTTGGTTTTGCAGGTCTGGAAATTCTCAGATCATTAGCCACCAACATTAATGCAAGCTTTATAAGACATCTTCACTTTTAAAAACAATGCTTCTCATTTCCAATAAGCAATTATAGTCCAATTAATAGTATTTTATGAATTTTTTAAAAAATTTACCATTTTGTCCATTCCTTTTGGTCCAAGGCTAGTTCTAATAGCATCTGTAACAGCTGTAAAAAGAGAAGAAAAATTTAAGAAGCATTATTTTTTGGCATTTTAAAATTGTACAATTTTACCACATACATTAACAAAATGTTATAAATTGTAATCCTAGCACAAATATAATGAAGTCTTTCCATTCTTTTTCATTGTAAGGCCACTGTGTGCAGTACTTGGGATTTATTCTATACAGATACAGGAATACAATACAGGAATAAATACAATACAGGAAATACAATAGGAAAACTTAGTTTGCAGACATCCTATTTTTCTTCAAATACCAGAATGCTAAGAATCAAATTAGAAAGTTTTGCAATCTTTACTTCCTATCTTAAAACAAATGAAATTTTGGATTTTAAAGCTACTGATATAATAAACTCAAGTGTTGTTACCAATATTCAGAGACCAAGAAAAACCAAAGTTCTGTACTTAAACCTAACCTGAAATCACAACTTAGTCATAGATAGCTGAGATGTTACCATAGCAGGAATGATGGAATATTTATTCCGGTGGAACAAAGGACAAAATTTTTTCCTTGATCCATGATAGCTTGAAATCAGAAGAATCAGTATAACATTAGCTATAGTACAAAATACACTATGTAGAGAAGGCAGACTACAGCAATGTAAATAAAGATAACACTAAAAGACAACAGAATTCAGGTTAAATACAATGTTGGTTCCAAATGACTGAAAGTAAAACCTTCTTTCCTTGTCATTACAGTTGCTTGTGCTCTCAGTCACAATCCCTATTATTAGACAGCTTTGTTAAATTTTTTTTTGTAATACTGTTAGGAACGATGGAGGAAAGAACTGCTTATTGGGAAGTGAGACTGTGTCAAAACAAAATGTGGAATTTTTTTTTTAAATGTTAATTTTAAAAAATGCTGTTATAGGCCACTTTTTCCTATCCAACCATCTCCTTTTAAGTTATGACATCTAACTCAAGTGTCAGGAAGGCACAACAACTTTCAGAAAAGCTAAATATGACCCACCAACTAAAGCATGTAAAATCATCTTGAAATATGTAATTAACTACCATCCGTGGAAAAAAGCAGAGAAAATTCCTCAAAGTCAATGTTTCATTTTTTGCCTTTCTAACAGCTGGGTACCTAATGCAGTACTCACAGGCACCTGATAACTGTGTGTTGAATTGAATTAAGCAGTCATTACACAGGGATAGGAACCAGTCCCGTGAACTTCATTAGTATATAAAATCTCTGGAAGAGGAAACTCCCTCCACTAATGCAAGGTGGCACCTACTATAGATTTAGAATTGCCTAATGTGCACTGAAAAGTTAGATGACTTGCCCCCAGGTTTTCCTGGCTCTGGGGGTCAGTTCTCTATCCATTACACCACGATGCCTGTCTTAGAAAACCTTAAAAGATGTAGAATTTCGGAAGTGAAAGGCTGTTTGATGCCATCTAATTTGTGAGATGAAATGGCATAGTGGAAAAGAGAACTGGATTAAGAGTTTAAAGATCTGAATTCAAATCTTGCCCCTACTACCTACTACTTCATGTGGTCTGGAACAAGTAGTTTTGGGCCTCGGGTTCCCCATCTGTAAAATACTAGTAACTGCCATTTTATATAGAACTTTCAAGTTTACAGAGATTTATTTACATCATCTCATTTAAACTTTACAACCACCCTGCAAGATATTATCATTCACGCTTCTGACCATGAAACTGAGGCTCAGAAAACTACATGACATGCTCACAGTTAAATAGCTGTACAGGTCTTTCTGAGATTCTCTTCTAGTTCTAAATCCTTTATCTTCACAAATCCTGTAATTTTAGCATCAGGGAAACAGCCCTCAATTGGGTGACTGGTTCATTCAAAGACTAACGGTTCTCATCCTCCAGTTTCATTGTTAGACTTTTTTTAAGGCTAACCCATTACGTTAACTTTAGGGTTTGATTTACATATCTATAAACTAAAGGCATATAATTTTTTTTAAAAAGTGCCCATAGGGGACAGCTAGGTGGTGCAATGGATAGAGCACTGGCCCTGGAGTCAGAAGGACCTGAGTTCAAATCCGGCCTCAGACACATAATACTTATTAGCTGTGTGACCCTGGGCAAGTCACTTAATCCCCACTGCCTAGCAAATAAATAAGTAAGTAAATAAGTAAATAAATAGTGCCCATAGAGGGATGTGCATGTGATAATGCAGTTATTCACCCCCTGCCCACTGGGATATACTGACTGTACCAAAACCTTCTGGTCATTCTCTCCTTAAAGTAGGCAAATATTCAGACAGTGGTTAAGCAAGAACCTCTTTAGGCCCATCTGGTACAAAACTGTAAGGTACCTTACACCCCATCTTACTCTAGACACAAAATCTCATTAATTAGGAAAGAAATATTTCTAATTATAAGTATGAAATTACATTTTATACTAATTTTTCTAACTTTTTGATCATTCATTAAGCAACTATTTATTGAGCTCCTACTATACAATTTTGTGCTATGCATTTTAACTTTGGGGCTGTTAGTCCTACGTACCATATTATCTAGATCTGTTATTCTAACATATTATGGGGGAAGAGGGTGTACAGGAAAGAAAAGGAAATGACAAACTACATCCTTTGCTTCTCACAGGCAATAATCCTCCCTCTAATAAGTAACAAACTGTTCCCTGTCATATTCTGGGAATAAAAAGTAGTCTCTCCCCTATACAAAAGGGATTCTGCAACTAATAATAGGTTACATTTATATAGTGTTTCTTACAAAATTATTTTCTAAACTGATAGTTAAGAAAGCACAAAATTATAGAATGTCAGAACTGAAAGTTTTAATCTCAACTACCTCCCACATTTGAAGAATGAGTCCCAGGGAAGGACCTGGATTAAAGTCACACTGTACTTGTTAATGGCAGAAAGTCTGAATTTGTTTCTTGATGATTAGAATCCAATATTCTTTACACTAAATTAGTGTGTCACACAAGTACCACAAGCCCTAAATTTAACTACACAAAACCACACTTTTTTGACCAGCTCCAGGCTCACATTCAGACTTTCCATGATAATGTTTAATTATGATTTAAAAACCTCAAATTTTTTTTCCTCCTCCATACTTGGATGGAGATGCTGCAGAGGTTAACACTTTCTCCATCCTCACTGTGCCCTTATGGTACAATCTATTTAACTGCTCATTTATATAGCCCTTTCACTACATTGTTTTATTTGACTCTCATAGAAACTCTATGAAGTAACTGCTACTACAGGTATTACTATAGTTACTGCACATCCTCTTTTAGCTCCTAGCTTCCTTCAAGGCTTAGCTCATATGCTACTTACCAAGAGAAGCCTTTTCCAATCTGTTACAGCACCGGCCCTTCACAATTTAGTTTAAGTACACACATACATATATATTTAGCTGTATCTCTCAGGAGAAAGTTACTTCCCGTCGTTGTCTTTGTATCACCAGCACCCATGACTCAGTGCCTCACACACAGAATGTGCTTTATGTTTCTTAGCTTGATGGATCCTCATTTTACAAATGAGACAACAGGTTCAGAGATACCTTATTCATACAGCTACCAAGATGAGAGGTGGAGATTCATATCTAGTGTTCTAATTATTCTCAAAGGTACCTTGCTAACTCCCAAAAAAATCATTTGAAAAATCTAAAAGGAAGAACAAAATGTAGATCAGTCTAAAGTCCAAAGTGCTGCAAGTTTGTAGCTTCAACAAAAGAGAACCAAGCTGTTGTAGCCACAAATGTTCTATGGGACTCAGGATCTTGAGGCCCACCACCAGCAGACCTTCACGTTTTGTAGTGAAGATCATCAATTCGAGAAATTTGGTGAATGCCACAGTCTTAGAGAAAGTCAGTCAACTAACATTTATTTAAACGTCTATTATGTGCTAAACGATAGGGACACAAAAATAAATAAAAGCAAAAGACATTAATACCTGCTCTCTTTAACAGCTTAACCAGGGAGACAACACGTTAACAACTGCATGCAAAAAAATACTCAGGATAAACTGGGGGGAGGGAACAAAGACTGAGGAGCCGGAAAGGCATCTCGTAAAAGGTGGGGTTTTAGCTGGGCCTTGAAGGAAACCAGGGAGGCCAGATCATGGCATGGTGATGGAGAGGAAGAGGAAGAGCATTCCGGGTATTTGGCTGGGGGGGGGGAGAAGGAAGGGGGAGATTGGCTGGGGGGGGTGGAGAAGGAAAGGGGAGACAATCTGCGAAAATGCACAGAGTGGGTACATAGTAAGGGAGAAAAGCCAGGGGTTGGGGAACCGATCATGGACACACGCCGGGGGCCGTGGGGGACGAAGCCCTTTCCAGCCACTCCCCGAGAGCAGCCATCATGCTGAAGCTGACTCAGCCCAGAAAGACCCCCGAGTTAGGCCCGGCGCGGCCCCCGCGCTCGCTACCTTTGGCGGCAGAGATGTTGCTGAAGCGGATCTGGGCCGGTTTGTCCCGGTCCTGGTAAGCGCCTCTCCCCCGATTGCCGGAACCTCCGGCAGGCCCGTTGTTCCTGGGACCCACGTTCTCCGGCATGGTCAGTCAGGCTCGGCGCGGTTCTGTGGTGACTCGAGAGCCCCAGATGGACGCGGATTGAGTCCGACCCGTTGCCTAACGGTCTCCGACCAAAGCCTCCACGAAGCTTCCAGAAAGGAGAGCCGGCGCCTGAGCAGAGGAGGGCGGAGGCGGGAACGAAGGGTCCTGCCTCGCACGCGGCACCTGCAGTGACGTCAGGAAAAGGCGTCCGCGGCGCGCCGGACCCCAGATCCGCCTGAGGTGGCGCGTGGAGAGCAAAACGTTCTCAAATTGGGGGGAGGGAAGAGCGAGACCGGTTATTAAATCAACTGGCGTCGTTCTTGGTTATGTCCGGGCGAGGCGGTAGTTCTAACTGCGTTTAGAAAGGCGCGAGGCGGAGAAAGGCAGGTTCAAGACGCCTTCGTCTCGCTGCCCTCAGGCCCCCACGCATGGAAGGGGCGGGGTCAGGCCTCAGGGCGCTCGGTCGGTTATCTTTTGTTGAGGTCCTGTTCCTGTGCTGTGATCTCTCGTTTTGGAAGGAAGGCGGGGCTGGGCTGGCTTTCATTCCCTTGGGCTGGGTCGAGGTAGAAGTTAGTGATTCCCGGAGTAATAATCACCAAGCATCTCTTTATTAAGCGCCTACCACGTGCTGGGCGCTGGGGATACAAAAAAGGGCCAAAGAGGATCCCTGCCCTCAGTCAATAAGCATTTATTAAGCACCTACTGTGCTGATAAGTGCTGGGGATACGAAGAAAGGCCAAAGATAGTTTGTGCTTCCAGGGAGCTAACAGTGTGGGTTACAACAGATAAACTACTATGTACAAAAAAGCTAAGTAGAGAGTGAAATTAAGGTGGATTGGGACAAGCTTCCTGGAGAAGATGAGGTTTTAGCTGGGACTTGAAAGTATGAGAAGGATATGAAGGAACAGCCAGAGAAAATGCTCAGTCAGAAGACTGAGGGTCAGAACTTACAGGAAGCCAGTGTCATTGTTTCCCAGGTTACATTGAGGGGGGTAAGGTGAAACAATGGCTAGTCTTTACCTAGCAATTACAGACACTGTGTTTAGCGCTTTACAAATACCTCATTTGATCCTCCCAACCCTGGGAGGGAAGTGCTGTTATCATCACTGACAGGCTCAGTGACTTGGCCAAGGTCATACAGCTAGTAAGTATCTGAGGCTGTTTGAATTCAGGTCTTCCCAACTCCGGGCCAGCATCTGAGCTGCCAGGTTATGAAGGGCTTTACACACCAAAATAAGCTTGCATATATTTTGCAGTTAGGGAATATTTAGGCTTCTCTAGGTGTGAGCTATTTTTCCTATGTACTAGGATCATAGGTTTTAAAGCTTGAAAGAGACCTTGAAGCTTGTATATTCTAACCCCTCTTATTTAACAGACTAGGAAATTTGGGTTAAATGATTTCCAAGTACCACTGGGATCTCCCAACTATGCTTCCCCAATCCTTCCCTCCATGTGGCCCATTTCCTTTCTTTTGCCTCTCAGAATCCATTTTAGGCAATGAGTGTGATGAAGTTAAAAAAATGGATAAACTTGGCATCAGAAGAGAACTGGGTTTAAATTTAGGTTCTGAAGCTTTGTATCTGTGTAACCATACATAAATCACTTATCCTCAGTTATCTTGTCTATGAAATGAGGATACTAATACTTTTACCATCCATCCCATGGGGGTTGTGAGAGAAATGCTTTGTAAAACAAAGTATTATATAAGAGGGATTAGGTAGGAAACCTTGCTGACTAGGACTACTACAAATATTGTTGCCCAATCTCAACTAGGTATTCACTATAGCAAAGTGATTTTTTTATACCTCCCTAGTCAATTCGTCATCCCACTCACCACAGTGATTATTCTAAAACCTTTCATCCTTCCTCTAACCTGCCATGATAGCTTCTCCTCCTCTCCCCCTGTAGATCTTGCCTCAAACTTAATGCCATTGGTGAACTCCCCACTTCTCCCGTCCTCATCCACATCATTCAGATGTCTTTTGCCACTATCTCTTTCACCCCATCACATGAAAAAGTGACCCATCTTGCCAAGGGAAACCCTTCTACATGTAACCTTAATCCCATCCATCCCATCTTCTCCAGCTGATTGCCCCCTTTATCCTTGCTCTTTCACTCTTTAATCCGTATCTACTGGCTGTTCCTATGCAGCCTACAAACATATCCGAGTCTCTCCTATCTTTAAAAAACCCTCATGATCTGACCATGTCTTAGCTATTGTCCTATATCTCACCTTCTTTTCTTGGCTAAACTTTTGGAGAAAGCCATCAACAACTGGTGTCTCTACTTCCTCTCTTTTCTAAACCCTCTGCAGTTTGGTTTCAAACCTCATCATTCAATTGAAACCCTTCAGAGTTACCAATGATCTTTTACTTGCCAAAATTAATGGTCTTTTCTCAGTCTTCATACTTCTTTTCAATCCACATCTTTCTTATCTTCTCTGCAGCATTTGACACTGTTGATCACCCTCTTCTCTCTAGAAGGGAATAAGTTTTTTGTGGTACTGCTCTTTTCTGGTTCTCCTACCTGTCTGACCTCTCCTTAGTCTCCTTTCCTCAGATCATGTCCACTAACTGTGAATGCCTCCTCTGCTAAGGGTCTATCCTGGATTCTCTTCTCCTTCTATATTATCTCCTTTTATTACCTCATCAGCTTTCCTGGGTTAAATTATAATTTCAAAGCAGATGATGCTCATCTAGTTATACAGCCCTCACCTCGATTCTCACATCACCAACTGCCTATTGCACATCTCAAACTGGATGTTCCATAGATACCTCAAATTCAATATGTCCAAAACTGAACTCACCATTTTTCTCCTCAAACTTTCCTTTTTTCTATACTTCCCAGTTACTGCTGGAGGCACCACCATCCTCACAGTCATTTAATCTTACAACCGTGGTGTTATCTTCAATTTTCCACTCTTACCCCCCATATCCGAGCTGTTGTCGAATCCTGTCAATTCTACGTTCAAAGCCTATCTCCTACATGTCCCCTTCTCTACTTGCATAGCCACCAGCCTGGTAGAGGCCCTCTCACTTCACATTTGGCTAACTGCAATGGCCTACTGGTTAGCCTCACTGCTTGAAGTCTCTTCCTGACTCCAGTCCCTTCTCTCATCTACCAAAATGATTTTCTTAAAAGTGCAGGCTTGACCATGTCACTGTACTATTCAGTAAACTTCAGTGGTTTCCCTGTTGCCTCCAGGATCAAATATAAAATCTTCTGTTTGACTTTTAAAACCCTTAGTCTATTCACACTTCACTCACTCCTGTAATACAGCAACACTGGTCTTCCTGCTGTTCTTTGCACAGGACACTCTTTTTCCTGACTTTTTTCCTTTTTTTTTTTGTTCCCCGTGCCTGGAATGCTCTCTCTTCTCACTTCTACCTCTTCTCTGGCTTCTTTCAGGACCCAGCTAAAATTCTACCTTCTGTAAGAAGCCTTTCTCAACCTTTGATCCACCTTTCCCTCTGAGATTACCTTGTATACAGCTTGTATGTACATAATTGTTTGCATGTTGTCTTCACCATTTGAGCAAGCTCCTTGAGAGCCGAGACCATGTTTTTGTCTTTCTTTATATCCCTGGTGCTTAGTACAGGACCTGGCACATAGTAGGTACTCAAATGCTTGACTGAGGTAGGTCTGTATTGACTCAAGTACCTTCCATCCCAGTTATACACGCCCAACTCAGCTTAGCCTCTCTGAATCTTTAATTTTCCACCAAGCTTCCATGTTTCTCGTTGATTCTCTTCAGACTGAACTAGCATACACATTAAGTTTAGAATAAAGAACATTACGTGATACATATTACATGTAATTTACATAATAAGTAGGCAGCTAGGTAACACAATGGATAGAGCAGTGGCCCTGGGCTCAGGAAGACCTGACTTCATCTTGGGCAAGTCAGTTGACCTCTGTCTACCTCAGATTTGTCATCCATAAAATGGGGATAATAATAGCACTGTCAAATCTGAAACAAATGACCAAAAAGTCACAGAGGTTATGCAACTGCAGTTAACTGTGAAAATACCAAAGAGCCCACACAGGTTATCACAACCACAGTTAACTCTGAAAAATATCAAATAGCTCATACAGGCTGTTACAACCACAGTTAACTCTAAGAAATAAAATAAAAACAAAAAGGCAAGATGCCAATAGTGGTCATAAACAGAAATCTTTATTCCATTAGAGGAGGGAAACTAGACACATGTACCAGGGCCTCCTCTAGAAGGAGACCCACTTTAGTGAGGCCAAGTCTTAATACATGTAGCAGTGGCTACACAGTGAGCTATGGCTCTGACAGTGAGGGGTAACAGCAACAGTGAGACAAGTTTGATTCATAGTAGGGCTTCATGACTGGAACATGGTTCCTGCAGGTATCAGAGCTCAGGGCCCACCTGGTGCTGGTGTGAGAAACATTCTGGGATTTTGTTGTATCTGAGTTCATCCAGAGGTGAGTGCAAAGGATTGTTGTTATACCAAGCTCAGGGCACAGCTTGCTTGCTGGGCCTTACCTCTGGAAAACTGGTGTCTCCTAATAGTAAAAAGAAAGGAGTAAAAAAAAAAAGATGTGGTCTTGACAGCACCTACCTCCCTGGGTTGTTGTGAAGATAAAATGAGATAATATTTATAGAGTGCTTTGCAAACCTTGAAGCAAGATATAAATGCTAGCTATTACTATTACAATGACTTCAGTAATGAAAACACAATGTTAAAAGGAAATTAGTTGGCCTTTGATTAATTGTAATGATCTCCACTACGTTGAAACATATCTCTGTCCTTTCAAAACTGATTGGAATATTCAGCATACCTGATACCCATCCCGATAAGGCTGCTAACTTAGTATGTCTCTTGGAAGTTCTGACCTAGGTTTCTAGTTAACCATGTTGTCTGATCAGCACATCAGGGTGGGATATAGCAGTCCCTCACAGGTGATAGCAAAATTTGCTGTAGTTCTTGGTGCATTGGACTTCTCAGCACTCACTGTAGCAAAAGCAGAAACATTTATTACTCCATATTTTCTTTAGTTGTCTCACATGGGTTACTATTTCTCAACTGCCCTCCTTCTACCATTTTCCTTGGCTGCTAGATCTTGTCCTCATACTGACTTGGCCACCTACAGGTTTGTTCTCTAATTTTGGTTGGCCCTCACTGCTATATG